TTCGTAATACACCTTTTGCGGCGGGACTAAGGCAGTTACTTAGCCTAGAGGCTTCTCTGTTCTTCTGATTGAAATCTCACTAACCTCAAATTTTTTGTGGTCAATGCCTTTATGTTCTGTAGCAGTTCCTGTAGATAGACCCTATTAAAAGCTCTGATTTTCAGGTAATACCAGACATGCGCTCAAGCCTGGTGTCACCCCTCAGTCCGCATGAAATTGCGGCCAAAATGCTTGCTAATGGCTCATTACCAGCGAATGCGAACGGCCTGACCCAATACAATCCCCTCCTAATAGCCATGTTACAACCATTGGCTTTGCAACAATTGCTACAAGCACAAGCTCTTCAACAGCAGTATATGGTAAGTGTTGAGCCCAATTTTCCGCCCAGGACCAGGTCTAGAATTGCTTGAGTTGATTTGTTTTTCAGCAGTTGCAACAGCAAGCATTAGCTCAACAACAAATGGAAGCTCAAGCACTTTGGGCATCGTCAAGTATTTCGGCCAGTCCTGCACATGCTTCAGATAGTGAGGTAGGCGACTTTTTGATTTGATTGGACCTGAATTTGTGACGGGGACTGTTTGCCTTTGTTAGATGGCTGAAATGCCGAGGCAATTTTCTAGATTGACGTTGCTAGAGAAAAAGAGAATAGGCGGTTTTTTGTGGGTCGCGTGAATTACGTTTTCTTTTGCTTTGACGCATAGATGTGCTGTTTGAAATTCTATAAAGCTGAGAGGGAAGAATGCTCATTCTTGAGATTGGTGAAATACTAATGTGATAGGATTGCGAGGACCCCGACTAAGTAGTTGCTCAAGTCTCGCTGCAAAAATTAAACTTCAAAGCGAGAAAATCGCTTTAGAAAGTAGATGAGGCGGAGGTCGGCACGCCCATTAACGTGGGTGGTCCATGCCAGTGAATGAGTCTGAAACGAATTTTTTAAGTACTCGGATTTGTCGAAAATATGTACTTCACAATGAAGGGCGTTTTTTCGGCATCTCTGGATATCCGAAATGATCCACCTTAATTTTATGGGCGTGTCGACCTATGCTGAATCTACCTAATGAAGAGGTTTTCTTGTTTTGTAATTCATCTTTCTCAATGGGATTTGGGCAATAACTTTGGGACCTTCAAAGTTTACCTTTTTATACCCAGCATTAGCAGAAAAACAACTGTTTCTTTCCTTGCCTTAATATTTATTCCTTCCAGGTATCGGAAATGTCCGAGTTATCGCCAGTTCCGCAAACGGAGGTGTCAATGCGTCCGCACTCACCTCCATTTAAAGATCCCCATCAACTGGCCGACAAATCTCTCTTGAGGCTTCTCAACCTCAATCAACTCTCCGAAAAGGAACAAATGGCCGTGGCTGTACTGGCTGGATTTGCCTCAATGGGACGCTGAACGGTGTCCCGAATGAGGACGGGTGGACGAGTTATCACTCGCCAGATAAACGCGTTCCGAGCATAGCGGCAACGGTCGATGGCTGGCTTTTTAGCACCATCGGCATGCTGCTGTCAGCATCGGACCAGACCACATCCCGGTTAT